AAGAGGAGAAAGGGACCATGGAATGGGTCTAGGCTTAAACCCTAAAAGGAATAGGTTTGGGTGGTTTGGCCGCCTTAGACGGCGTGGGGTGAAAGTTAAAAGAAAAGACTCAGGCTCCAACGACCAGTCCGTCATTTTACAACGCTCTCGACATTGCACTGTCCCAAGATATCCCCGCTTAGCTTATGCGCCACTCTACGGCAAACCCTAAACCCAAATCCTAAACCGTTGTGTCTTTTCTTGGGCCAGTCACTAGCCAATTTATTCCCGTAAACGGTATACACGTAAACCCTAAACTCAGTCCCAGGCAGTTGCAGTGCTTAGTCTTCTGAAAGGATATTCGGGATCCTACTATATGTCAGAGTATATTCCTTAATTAGTTTAGGGGATCTTGGAAGGTGTGGTTAGTTTTCTCGCACCTTTGAATCCGAGGCCTTTGCGACTGCAATTCAAAATCGGCGCCGCGCCCGTCGAAGACGACTCTTGCTAGGGATTGCGGAAGGTTTAGGGGTTGGGGCTTAGGGTTTAATATCGGGCTTAAATAATTCCCAATACCATTTTGGGGGTTCCCTTGCAAATTTGAACGTTCTGGGGCATGAGTTCCCGGGCGCTTGAGGGTTTATATATGGTGGTCAGATTTCGGGTGTTCCTTTTTATGAATATAGTATAATGGCCCCGAAACCCTATTCTAATTATTAAGTCTTCTGTATTTTAGATATGCTTGCCGTACAGCTTGGAGGTGCACTCGAATGGAAGTCGAAGCCCTGAGTCGGAAGTCTTGAGACGTCAAAACTAAAGCCAGTACAGCCCTAAGCACTAAAGCTCTGAAAACTCATCACATCAAAGCCTGAAATCCACAAATACCGCAAAGGCCCTGATACTGCTGAGCCCTGAACCCTAAGCCGCCTGTCACCGTAGCAACGTCGATTTGTGGAGACTTCCCCCATGAATTCGTGCCTGCCCAGGGTGCGCGAGTCGAAACCCTAAACCCAAAACCCCCTCCTAGGACCTACAGTAGGCCCTTATTCCCTTTTTTTAGGGTTCAGGTTCCGTTATAATTAAGCCCCTCTAGACCAAAAAGGGCACCCTTTTTATTCCTAGATTACTCTTGGGTCTAGTCTCAAGGACATCAACAGTGTGGACGGCCGGGGAATGACCTCCTTGATGAGGACGTTGGAGGCTGGCGATGAGGTGAGGTCACCCAGTGCTTCGCATGCCTGGTTCGATGTCAAAAGTATTGTTGTTATGATGGGTGTTTGCATGGTTCTTAGTATGATTATGAGTATCAGTGCTACCATGATTATCATTATTGAATGTGTTTAGTGGTAGTGGTCGTGGTAGTCTGTAGCAAGAGGAGGAGTCATAGCAGCATCAGAAGCAGTAGCAGTGGCAGTAGCAGTTCATGCAGTAGCAGCAGTAGCACTACTGCAGTAGTACAATTGTTGCATCAGTATGTTTATTCTTATTGTTAATCGTATGACTGGTGTTGTCTCTATCATTATTGGTTCCATGAGTCTGGTCATGTGTAGCATGTCCGATGACATCAAGTTGCACTCTTGTGCTATGCTATGCGGTGCTTCATTATATCATGATCTCGTATACAATGTGATGTTGCCCAAGTTATACTTTGCCGCCCGCATTCTGTTCATTCCGAAACCAGGGGACCCTAATATAGTACCCCAAATAGCAGGATCCTTATCATAGGGACCCCAAAACAAGGTACCCCTAATTTTCGGAAGCTTCTGGTTTCATTATGTTTCACTACTGGGGTTCAAATTTAAGGTTTAGGGTTTAGGTTTTAGTGAGTATAAGGCTTTGGGTTTGGTGTTCAAGGTTTAGGGTTTGAGCGTGTCGCGGCAAGGGCTTTCTTCCACCAGGAGCTGGCATTGGAACTCATGCAAGATCCTGACTTCAAAGCCATCAACGTGCAGGAGCCTGTTGCAAAAAACAGACTTGTTTAGAACCGAAGCAGCGGCTTAACAGGTAAAATGTTGTAGACTCAAAAGTTTGGAAGCTGCGTGACGGTGTTTCCATCTCCATCCCTGCCTGCAAGCGTAAGCCCCAAAGCGAACTAAGAGACCCCCCAGGCTGGACCGAAGTTGTGAGAGTGTGAACACTCTAGCAGTCTAGACCCTGGACCCGAGGCCAGATTTTGAGCAGCGGTGGACCGGCAGAGTTCTACAGTAAATGTGTGTACTGTGCTATTGACACGACTGCGGACAAGCCCAACCAACTCTACGCCCCGAAAAAGCCCTCGAGGACTTGACGGGGAAGACGGCCTTGCATTGGGCTGCCGTGGGTGGCCTGGAGCGGGCTTGCGCCGAAATCCTCAGCCTGTTGGCTTCTCAACAGTTTATGTAAGGTTTTAGGCTTGGGTTTAGGGTTGTTAGGGTTTAGGATCTCCGCTGCCGAACCCTTAACTCAGGGCATAGCGCTTGCAAGGTTTAGGCCGCATGCTCCCCAGAGACTCCAATATCCCTTAATTAAGGACTATATTCTCCAAATCACATAAGGGATCCTACTATAATTTAAGGAATATTCCTTAATTAAGGGATATTGGAGTCTCTGGGTCCCTGAAGCCAGCGTGGAGCCTCCAAACCATAGACGAGTCGCTTCCTGCAGGGGCGCCAGTCTGTGAGAGCTTCCGTGTTGGTTCCAATGACGGCACAGAGCGTTGAGGGTTTTGCGTCTCTGGACTTCGCACCCCTGTTATCCTATAGTAACATAGCCCCAAGACCCTAAGTCCCCGCATTGCGTCCGAACCCAACTGATTATGAGCGTTTCCGAATATGAGGGGTACCTGCTTTTGCGGTCCTTGTAATAGCTATCCTACTCCAAGTCACCTCATTTAGGGTTTACGGTCTACCCAGAGGCCCCAAAGTAGTTCCTTTTGGGGGTTACCTTATAGGATTCTATATACGAACCCCAAAAAGGAACTACTTTGGGGCCTTTGGGTAGGGTACCTAAACCCTAAACCCCTAAAGCCCTAAACCCCTAAACCCTAAACCCCCTTAAACCCTAAACCCCCGAAGGCACACCGGAGTTCCAGCAAGTGGACGCAGAAGATCGCGCTGGGAAAACTGCTTATGAGGAAGCCTGGGACATGGGTCAGATGGAGGCACTTCCTGGGCTCCTTTCAGGGATTTCCATGGGTTCCTTTAAAGGATCTATATATGTATATATCTATATATGTATATATATATATATATATTTGTTTTTTTATCCCGGTTCGGCCGCCGCCCCCCCCTCCCCCCGCCCCAATGGTTCCTCCTCCCCCCCTGTGGTGTGGTGTGGTTGTGGGTTGCTTCCCCCTCCCTGTGGTGTGGTGTGGTGTGGTTCGGGAGTGGGTCTGCTTAGGCTGGTTACCCCACTCCCCCCTATGGTGTGGTGTGGTTTGGGTTTCCTGCGTGGGTCTGCTTGGCGTGTGAGCCCTCGTGTGGAAAAAGCTTGCAAGGTCACACACAGATTCGGCTTGGGGAGCGTGGGGGGGAGGGGGGATACCATTGGGGGGGGGGGGGTTCGGTGAACCGAGAACCGGGATCATATATGGGTTCCTTTAAGCGTTCTAAAAGGCTTTAAGGGGTTAATGAACTTAGTTTAAGTTACCATACTACACATCATGGAGCAGAGCCTGGGTTCAAAACGGATGTGTAGTAAGTTTTGTGGTTTCCTTGCTTTCTACATCCATGTTTCAGGGGCAGCGCTGCTTGAATGACTTGTGACCGAACTTGTGCAAACCTTCAACAGGATCCAGCCAGATGAGGCTTTTCCGTTCATGAGAGCCCTAAACCCTAAACCCTTGTCCGAGTGTGAGCGCCGAACACACACACACACAGTTTTTAGCCACTTTTCAGGGTTCCCAGAGATCCCAATACCCCTTAATTAAGGAATATACCTTAAGTTATAGAGGCCTTAATATTATGATTTAAGGTGCATTCCTTAATTAAGGGGTATTGGGTTCTCTGGGTTTATAGGAGCCTCGAGCATCCCGAGCTCCGATTTGGGTCGCAGAAGGGAGGGATTAGGGTTTAGGGGTTTAGGGTTTAGGGGTTTAGGGTTTAGGGTATATCATGTGAAAAGGCTGTGCTTCTGCGGTCCGCTAGTTTTGGGGCCAAGGAAGAATCATGACCTTAGGACCTTAAGTTACAGGGGGTCTTGGTTGGCGTTTACCCTAAACCCTATAATATAGGCCCTAAACCCTAGACCCTGTAAGCCCTAAACCCTGAACCCTATAAACCCTAAACCCTACAGTCCCTAAACCCTGGACCCTTTCGGGTATGTTTTAGAAGGGGCCCCCACCCTGTAACAGTGACTGTAAGGATTATATTAGGGCCCTATTATATTCCTAGTATACCACCATTACAGGGTGGGGGCCCCTTCTAAGGTACCCAGAGACTCCAATATCCCTTAATTAAGGAATATACCTTAAGTTATAGTAGGATCCCTAATATGATTTAAGGTATATTCCTTAATTAAGGGATATTGGAGTCTCTGGGTATGTTCCTAAACTAATTATAAGGGGCTTCACAATCTTGGGGTATACCCACGCTGGCTTCGCATTGTCTCTTCCCAGGTCCGCACGAAGCGTCAACTAGGGTTCCTGTAAGGGGTTTAGGTTCCTTGAAGAATTGTTTCGAGGGGTTTAGGGTATGAAGTGTGACGAGGTCCATCCAACTGAGGTTTGGTGGATTTTGGTGGTGTGTATGCTCTTTTTAGGGGTTTAGGGTTTAGGGTTTAGGCCTTTACTGCTCAGTCGCCAAAGATATTAGCCCTTAACCCGTGAACCCAAAGCCCCTTGTTGCGGGAACTGGAGCTCTTTCCGGAAGAATGTCCGCAAGCACTCAACATTCCTTATAAGACTCCCCGCTTCCGGCCACATGGGCTCCCTTTCAAGCAAGACAGCTGGAATACAATTTAAACAGCCCTAAAGCCCTAAACCCTACACCCTGCCGTTGTGGCTCAAGCTCTACCTCAGATCTCAGGACGGGGTTCCCCCCAAAATGGGCTGCCCTTCAAGCAAGGCAGCTGGCCAAGAGGCCAATCCCCGAGGGAATCTGGCGAAGCCAGACTCTGGAGGTCGAGTTATTGACAATCCAGGAAAAATACTCGATTTCTACAAGCTTGAAAAGAAGAAGCTGGGGGGAGGGCCCTTAAGCTATGTCTGCGAGGCGAAGGACAAGGCAACGGGCCTTGTCCGTGCCGTGAAGACCATTGCCAAAGGGCACATTAAGGACATGGAGCGGTTCAAGCAAGAGCTTGCCATCATGAAGATGATGGACCATCCGAACATCATCAAACTCTACGAGAGCTTCGAAGACCGGAGGAACATATACCTAGTCATGGAGCTTTGTGCGGGTGGTGAGCTTCTCAGCCGCATCATTGACGCTGGCAGCTTCACAGAGGTAGCAGCTTCCACCTTGATGCAGCAGATCATCCGTGCCGTGTCCTATATGCACCAGAGGAAGGTTGCACACCGGGACCTGAAGCCCGAGACCTTTCTTTTCGCCTCCTTGGAGCCCATAGAAAACAACTGCCTCAAGATCATTGACTTCGGCCTTTCCTGTAACTTCGTGGAGGGCCAGATGCTGGCTACCAAGGCTGGCATGCCGTACTAATAATGGGCCAAATAAGTACCTATATACTATTTTTGGCTCTTTATTATAGTTACAGTATAACATGCCTCTAAGCCCTATTCTAATGATTCAGAACCAAGGCTGGCACGCCGTACTACGTCGCCCCCGAGGTGCTGTCGGGCAAGTACGACGAGGCGTGTGACCTTTGGAGTTGCGGCGTCATCATGTTTTTGCTGCTCTGCGGTTATCCTCCCTTCTATGCGGAGTCCGATCAGGAAGTTTTGTCCAAGGTGAAGATGGGCAACTTCAATTTCAACCCTTACGACTGGAAGAATGTGTCGGAGCAAGCCAAAGACCTTATACGCAGCCTGCTCCAGATGCACCCCAGAGCAAGGCTCACAGCGGATCAGGCGTTGCAGCACGAGTGGATCAAGGACAAGGCGCCCATGGCCAGAAACGTAAGCCTCCAGTCCATTGACAACATGACGATGCCATTGAATCGCTGGAGGCTGAAGCTGGCACCGGCACCCTGTCCCATCATCCCTCAGCTGAATGAGGATCAGATCAAGCAGCTCCGCGACGTTCTCATGACGATGGATGAAATCGGGGACGGCTTGTTGACCGTCAATGAACTGAAGGAGGGGCTTTCCAAGGCCGGCTTGAAGGACATCCCGGTCGACTGGTCGCCGATGCAGGAAGTGGACTCGGATGGGAGTGTGAAGATCGACTACACGGAGCTTCTAGCGGGGACTTTAGACAGGATGCATAGCCAAGAAGACGTTTGCTGGTCTGCATTCCGTGTCTTCGACAGGAGCGGCGATGGAAAGATCTCCATGGAGGAGCTCCAGCAGGTGCTCCGTGCTCAAAACGTAGAGGAGGTAGTCGGTACGAAGGCCATCACCGAGATAATGCTAGAGGTGGACGGCAAAGGCGATGGCTTCATCGACTTCAAAAAGTTCATGTCGATGGTGCGAGACCACGCGAAGGGTGGAGAAACGGTGACGGATTCCACTTTGTGAGTTCTGCGCCGCGCAGGCTTCTGCAGAGTTTCACCATGAGCGAAGCGCCCGTCCGCCACACGGACAAGACTTCTGTCGAACCCCTTGCTTATGGAACAGCTCTTGACCAGTTAGACTTTACATGTCGCCCATGAGAGCGCCGACCCTAAACCCTCAGCCCTTTCCCGGTTTACCGAAGACTAGGTGTTTGACCAGCTTGACACCTCCAACTGCATCACTTGCTGAAGCTGGACTCTCTTCAAGCCGTGCCTGTCTTCGTGCGGGTGCGCGTGTCGAAAATGTAGTTGAGGACCTTCCCGACCATCTTCTGGAAGTAGTTCTTGGCTTCAATAAAGTGCATACCTGCGACAGATCAACATTACAGATGTACTTGTCTGGAGATGTATGAATATATGTATATACCAATCTCCGAAAGGCCCTTAGGCCTTTCAAGAACTGCCCAGAACCGGAGCACTGAATCCTAATCCAAAAGTTTTATACCCAGAGCCCTAAATACTGAAGGGCCTTGCCAGAGGTGGTCAAGATTTTCGAGCTCCACAAGGGCGCTGGATGAGCGACGCTCCTCGAACCGAACTTAAGTGGCAGCTGAAATACGCATTGCTTGAACGGTGTAGAGTTTGGAAATGAGGACCATGCCTTACTACGCTGGAGGCCCATCAACTTCCTACGCAAGAAGCCCTATATGTCCCTATCGATGCCTGTCGTAACTAAGGTAGGTTCCCAATTCAAGAGGGGTCCACATCCTTTAAAGGGCATTCCTTATTTAAGGGAGAGTCTTATGTTCAGGACCAAGATTTTACCATACACCTAAACCCTAAATAACCCTCAAGACAGAAATAAATAGAAATTGCTTGTCTTTGTTTGTAACCACAGCCGCGGCCCAGCAGTTGGTTTCAATAACAGAGCGAGTGTATCGATCAACCAGTTTCTACACCCTCCCAACCCTCAAACTTGGTTTTTGACCTTTTCCAGACCATGCCGTCAAAACCCGCTCAAACGGCCCCGCCCCTCCCCGCCCAGCAATTTGCACGGTTCCCCCCCCCACACAGAGTTTCAAGGCCCCTTCAAAACCCGCTCATCACACCGGCCGTCCCCCCGCACAGCCCCCAACTCCCCGCAAGCCCCGCAGCCAGTCCCCAGCCCAACCCCCCACCAGTCAGCCCAGCCCAGCCCAGCAAATTCAAATGTGGTTTCTGTAAACTTCCGGTCAAAACTTTCGGTCAAAACTTATTGGCACCCAAACCCTTAACAATTTCTATTTACTATACACCTAAACCCAAAACCCTTTACTATACACCTAAACCCAAAACCCTAAACCCTTTACTGTACACCTAAACCCTAAACCCTGTAACTATACACCTAAACCCGAAACCCTAAACCCTTTACTATACACCTAAACCCTAAACCCTTTACTATACACCTAAACCCAAAACCCTAAACCCTTTACTGTACACCTAAACCCTAAACCCTGTAACTATACACCTAAACCCGAAACCCTAAACCCTTTACTATACACCTAAACCCTAAACCCTTTACTATACACCTAAACCCAAAACCCTAAACCCTTTACTGTACACCTAAACCCTAAACCCTGTAACTATACACCTAAACCCGAAACCCTAAACCCTTTACTATACACCTAAACCCTAAACCCTTTACTATACACCTAAACCCAAAACCCTAAACCCTTTACTGTACACCTAAACCCTAAACCCTGTAACTATACACCTAAACCCGAAACCCTAAACCCTTTACTATACACCTAAACCCTAAACCCTTTACTATACACCTAAACCCGAAATCCTAAACCCTTTACTATACACCTAAACCCAAAACCCTTTACTAAACACCTAAACCCAAAACCCTTTACTATACACCTAAACCCTAAACCCTTTACTATACACCTAAACCCAAAACCCTAACAGAACTCCAAGTCCGAGGGGCCATGAGCTGAGCACGAGGATCCTCACGACATGAGCCCCCTAAAACCGCCAGGGTTTAGGTTTAGGGTTTAGGGGTTTAGGGTTTAGGGTTTAAGGTTTTTTAGATTGTAACAGCCAGAAAGTTGGAATATGATTATCCTAAACCCTTTATGGTAACTTATAAGGTATCCTACCCTGAAACCATATTGCAACTTTCTGGAGTTCCCTTTAAAACCGCCAGGGTTTAGGTTGTCCCTTGACCTGTGATTGTTCCCCTGGGATTGAAATCTAATTCCCAAAGGCTCCAAGTATCATTGTAGTATAGACTTATAGCGTAATTTTGGGGGTCTAAGTATATACCGTAATGATACTTGGACCCTTTGGGATTAATTGTAGAGCTACCTGGGTGGTGGTCAAAATTATGGCCCCTTTTTGGGCACCCTTAGTTTTAGGTGCCGTATCATGATGAGGACCCGAAAAGGACCCTAATGTTGACAACCACCCACCTGAAGGCTACCATGAAACCTCCGCCGCTGAGCCCATCTGAGCCCCTCAGCCCAAGTTCAAGGCCAACTTGGCTTGAGACTACGGGTCCATCCAAAGCCCTAAATCCTCAAACCTTTATAGGAACCCCTAAGGGTAACGGAAGCTAGCTTCCCAGAGACTTCAATATCCCTTAATTAAGGAATATACCTTAAACTATAGTAGGCTCCCTAATCTCATTTAAGGAATATTCCTTAATTAAGGGATATTGGAGTCCCTTGGTTTTGAACTTTGCAGCTCAAGTCGCCTCAGCCTGTGGTTGCCTCAGCCAAGATGAGACTCCGAAGCACAAGAATACCTCTGCTCTTGGGTCCAGGTTGCGGGGTTAGGGGTTACGGTTGATGATATGAGTCCTGCATTGCCTTAAGGACCCTAGACTAGGGGAATTATAGTATATTACTTATTATGGGTACTGCAGGATTTATATCATCAACCGTAGGACGGTTTGGTGCTTCGGGTTTAGAGGTTCAGCGGTTCAGGGCTGAGGGTTGAGGGTGTATGGCTTTTTGGTGAGATCTTAACATGTTTCTGTTGGCATCCCTGGCCTGACACCCACCTACACCTACCCTGCAGCATCAACTATCGACATCGAAGGTCCCACACCATCTGTTGCCAAAGTGGGGACGAGATCGGCATCGTTTGACGCTGCGGTGAAGGAGCGCATTCCGATTGAGCCTGGTGCTTATGCTGCTGATGACGATGATGATGCTGATGCTGGTGCTGGTGCTGATGGTGATGGTGATGGTGATGATGCAGGTGGTCATCCACATTCCATGTGCTGTCAGCTTTAGTTGATTCATGGCTGCTGTAGTAGCGGCGTTGTGTCCTTGCTATGGCAACAATTACCATCGTCAGTTTATAGGCTGTTGCTGCCCGTTCTTGGTATGGACTGCAGTTGCCGTCTTCTTTGGCATCAACTAGTTACTAGTTGGAAGCCTGGCTCAGCAAGCTGCAAGGCTTGGTATGTGGCTGGCTTGGTTTGGCCATTACTTCGCGCGCTTAGCAAATGTCGACACGGAACTCCTAAACCTAATAATGCACCATGACCCCGGAAAGTCCTCAGCACATTTGTTCTAATCATTACGGCCCCATATATCATATAAATATCACTTAACCTGTACTGTCAAGAGCACTTAACTAAATGCTGTTCTAATCAATAGCACCCCTCCCCCACATTTCTCTGATGCATAGAGAAGCCCTGACCCGGCTGTGTCATTGCACATGGCGTGGTGTCACGGGCTAAAGTCCCAGAAGCTCAAGCAGTCAACAAATGAGGGTCTTCCTTAAAAGGTTACAGTACCCGCTTCCGGGGATGAAAATAGGGCCATCTAGTGTAGGGTTGCATTGCCTTTTGGAGTAGGTGTTGGTGGAGGAATGCTGCAGCTGCACTTCTGGAGTTGGAGTACCTGCAGTGCGCGTGGATGCATTGGAGATTTGGCTTGCGAGTCTTCTTGCCTGGAAAGCTGCAGCACGGCTCCAGGCGCTGAGGGTCATGAGTACCAAGATAATCTAAGCGGCGCATTCAGGAGAACATGAGATGATAAAGCCATATAAAGCCGGTAGTCTTCAATCTTATATAGCAAGAGTATAGACAAAACCTAAAAGTGCGAGAAAATACACACATATACACACGGCAGCGCTGATGTCTTTTTTGGTGTTGTTTTTTCCGTGTTTGCTGCTTTGGACAACGCAAACACTACGACGCACTTCTGCTGTAGACATCAACATGATACAGGACTGAAGCGTACGGACAACACACCCGTCGTAATCACCACGGACAGCATCATCATCGTCATCATCATCAACCCCCACCAGCACCATCAGAACCACCGCTACCACTGCTTCCATTCCCGAAGCAGGTGGTGGCTCGATGCCCTTGCCGGCATGCGCATTCTCCAGAATCTCGGACTCCACTCCAGCCGTTTCTCTTTTACCCTAGTCAAAGTTGAGAAGATCGGCGTAGCTCATTCGCAAACGTGGGGTGCTTGTTTGGTTGGTGTGGGCCGCACAGGAAGATCGTGTATTTGATGTTGGCAGCACACCTTGCGAGCGCCGAGCGAAGTGTTGGACATTCTCAGCTGCGTGCTCCCGCGGCGCTTCTTGGTAAAGAGCTGGCCTCTGGCATGGAGTAGGCCGGGCTCCAAAAGGCACCTAAACAAACTATCGAAGCCCTTCCGTTTGTAACCCGGACTTTACACGAACAAGTTAGTGTGTTAGGTGCTTCAGGTGTTCCTGCGAAGCACCCAGCATTGGAATCTACCATCCTGGCTGTCGGTAATGACCCGACATCTTTCATGTCAGAGTTCACCGTCTCACACACGAAGGATGCCCTAAACCCTAAACCCTACACCCTGTAGTAAGATCCCGATGACACACCGTAAACCTCCAGGACCTTGAGCTCCTAACGATCCTAAACCTTAAGGGGTTTAGGGTTTAGGGTTAGTCCTGGCAGCCAGCAAGCCCGGGTTCAAAAAAGGGTTCTTAAAGCCCAAAACCATTCGTCCTTCGTTGCCCTAGGATTTGGGTGTTTCCGAAAATTGGGGGTACCTTATTTTGGGGTCCTTACAATAAGGATCCTACTATTTAGGGTACCATATTAGGGTCCCCTATTTTCGGAAACTCCCAGATAGACAACGTTTAATGGCTGTTCTCTTCTCAAACGAGACCAGAAGCTCATCCTAGCGGCTGGAAAAGACGTCTTTCGAAAGGAGTCCTCTTGCGCTTGAGTTAAAGTCGGCCATTCCGCAGGCTATATGGGAGTTTCCGAAAATTAGGGGTACCTTTTTGGGGTCCTTATAATAAGGATCCTAGTATTTAGGGTACTAGATTAGGGTCCCCTGTTTCCGGAAACTACCATATGGATGATGTTACATAGCTTGACTCACACACTACGTTGCGGGCTGACCTTGCGAGAACCCAAGGCCTTGACCCCATGCGGAAGCTCAACCGTTCAAGAGCAGAACCGTTTACCTCCATGGATCACTTGAAAGTAGGCAACAAAGGATGCCCAGGGCTTGGGGTCTGATGGTTGCTTCCAGGCCAAACTTAAAATCGAAAACGCCCAGAGTGCGTGGTGCCATTGGGGAGAGGTGCCAAGGGTGTCCAGTAGTTGATAACATCTTCACTGCCTGATAAGCTGTTTTCCATACATGTAGGGGTTCATATTCAGGGGCGTCTCTTTAACAGACAAGCCCTCTTTAGTTTGGCTCATGTTTATAGCCCGGAGGTAGGACGCCCCTCCCGTTCGAGACATGTCGAAGCCCAAAGCTTCGGTGTACGACCCGATGCGCAGCAGTTTTGTAGGAAAGAGCGAGTGACGTGTACTTCGGTTGATGATATAAATCCTGCATTACCCATAGTACGGAATATACCATAATTACCATATTTTAGGGTCCTTAAACCGTTGGACGGCCTCCCAGATGTATGTGTGACTATACGCTTACGGTACTTGTTACATTGTTCAAGTACTTGCAACTGCCCTTTTGGTCCCTCCTTGTACATGGTTGCCCATGACAGCCGTGAACGCCCCGATCTTTTACAAGCGGGGTAGGGTCAAGCTGCGAGGATTGGTGAGCCAACCATCATTGAATGGCTGGTTCGCCACAGTTCTGGCTGACTGCCGGGAGGGTCGATGCCAGGTGCAGTTGGATGGGCATGAGAAAAAGGCTGGGAAGCGCATCGACCCTAGCAATCTTGTCAGGCTGCATGAGGAGATGCCGAGCGCCGCATTTATAGATATTCCACAAGCCTGCATTGGGAGGGTGGATGGAAACACGGGCTCCTTTGGGGTGCATGGCCTCACAACGAGCAACATTGGCCAATGTGCCATTTGCGTCATTCTAGGCTCGTCTCGCGGCTCATTGACCCATGTGGACAATGCCATCGACCTGAGCTTCTTCCAGACGGAAGCCGAGTGGGTGGGAGAGCATTCCAGGAGGATCTTCGTGTACCCTAAACCCTAAACCCTAAACCCTAAACGACTTCAAGCCGAATCTCGATCGACTCACGCAGCACATCCAAGCGCATGGCTTCTCAGACAAAGTGGAGTTAGGCATGATTCCGATGCCCAGCTCCAACGATCCTCAGGACCTGAGCGTGGAGCTGCTGGCCGGGGGGCCTGCTGCAGGCCCAAAGATTGCCCTCAACCTAAAGCCTGACTTCATAAAACAACATCCTGTTGCCGTAGCCATCACCTCTGCGACGAAAGCCTGTGACCATGTGAAGCTCTTGGGCTTGGGCTTACCAGAAGCACGTCTTGTTTTCGACTGTTGGCACTGGTGCCAAGTCGACACCAAGGGTATCTTACCAGAGAAGGTCAGGAACTTCATAAACAGGCTTCCCATTGCCTCAGGGTTGCGGCCATTTCTGGAGGCGCTGCGGCAGGAGTTTGCACAACATCTTAAGCAACCTGTGATATGGAATAATCTACAAAGACTCATGGGCATGCCAGCAGACGCAGTCCTGAAAATCCAGCTGGGCAGTGGAAGAGACCATGATCGCTGTTTGTTTTTGGCCAACGTCTTGCGCCTCAGGGACGACAGCGAAGGCCTTCACCAGTTCGTGGTTAATAGCATCGTCCGCTGCGTCAAAGATGTGTCGACTGGATCTTCAGAGGTTCTTATTGGCAGGCTGCAGGATTCGGCGAAGGATTGCACAACTGAGGAATTTATTTTCGAAGCTATATGAGCCTGTTCCAGTTCGGTGCCGGAGAAAGACAGAGAGCCGCTTGATGCTTTACTGGAGCAGTTTCGCATGCATTTTGTCACTGGGATGGCCCCAATCTGGGATGGCAGATTGCAGCAGCAACTCCCTGTTTGTCTGGTCCAATCCCTGCATGACGAACACGACCAAAAGCTGAAGATCCACCGCCAACGAGCGTCCCAGTGTGCTGCCAAAGGTGTGGCAGCCTTCAAGAAGGGAGAGACTTGCTTAGCAACCCCGGCGTTTGAGGCGTGTTTGTGTTGGACACTGCTGACGCACTGCTGGAGTGACGCGCAAGTCACCACGGCCCTTTACAACTGCGGCTCTTCCACCGCTTCCGCCGAGCCGGCTGTAGCAAAAAAGTACCTGGAACTCGCGATGCATTCTGTGCAGGATGAGACACAGAAGATGAAATACAGCCGCAAGCTCCAAGAAATCAAGGCGCTGCTCCCTGACGAAACGGCCCAGGCTTCCTCATACGCTGCTGGGCTTCCGTCCTTTGCAGGCGAGAGCCCGGTTTTGATAGTGCAAGATTTGGTTGCTGAGATGGAGGCTACCGCTGCCAAACTACGTGCTTTGGAGGTCCAACTGCGGGCTGGGGAGGTTGTGACACCTCCGGGAATTAGCACAAAGAAAGAGTGCCAGGAATGGGTCCGGACAAGACTTGGCATCACCGACCCTTGGCAAGCCGTTTAGAAGCCGTACAGCTTTCGGCCAGAGAGTGACGAAGATGCAAGAAACAAAAATTACAACAGTGTATATAAGCTTTACTTTCACATGCGGTGTACTGTATGGACCGTCATATCTGTAATACACAGTGTGGACTCTAGACTCTAGACTATGCACTAAGCGCCGCATGATATATGGTATACCATGAGAAATGTGGCCTGCATGTCTGAGGCATGTGAGCCGCAGCCTCTTCTTAACTCAATATACATGCAATCGAAAATTGCATGAGGTTTGCCCATTCATGTCACATGCATATGTGTATTTGGTATTCGCGTGCTCATATTATATGCTTGTGTATTTATGCACGCATGCAGCATTGCATGCATCTGCGCAGGAGCAGGGGTAGAAGTAATAAGTAGTAGTAGTAGTAGTAGTAGTAGTAGT